GATTTGGAAAGATTGATATATCCCTGGTTTTGTGTCTGAAGGACACCTTAGAAATATGAATGTAATGCTATATGAAGCAAAAAAGTAACAAAATATACAAATACTCCCCCTATTTTTCCTGCTTATTTTACTTTACTTTTGTTCATAAACTTAGTCCACTTTAGTCCATTGTTCCATTGTTCCATTGTTCTGTTGTTCTATTATAGCTCAAAGCAATGAGTCTTTGTGGCTGTATTGAAAAACTCTACACAATCTATGTCAGAAGCTGAAAAATTATTTGTGACAGGTTTTATTTCCTCAAAGGTGCATAAATATTTAAAACCTAATTGACCAGCATATGCAATCCTATTTCTTGGTGTTTTACTTCAAGAAATCCTATCTTAAAATCAAAACTGCCTTTGCTCTCACCACTTAGCTCTGTCCCTGTGTTTATCCTAATCATGTTGGATAGGGTGCTCTGGTTCCTACAAACTAAAGTTTTCCTTATGGGACCCACCATAGTTTTGAATTGTTTTTGGAGAATATGGAAGTCTAGCTGTCCCTATCCCCCGCTTTAATTTGACATCTTAATAAGATGAGACTATTATACTGCCCTGGATTATGTCTAAATTGTGTCTGAGTTAATGTGTAAATGAACACTTAAATTATGGAAGCTGCAGAAAATATCAGAGTATATAAGGGACATCTTGGATTTTTCTCTGTTTGAACTGAGCCTCTTTTGATTCATGAAGATAAAGCTATGACAAATGAGCTGGAAAATACTACAAGTAAGGCAGGGGGTCTTTGCTATCATTTTGTCCTTGTTACTTAATTTAATCAGTAAATTAAACAAATTTACTACAAATGGGTGCAGGGAATATGTAGGGTATATGTCCCTATTTGTTTTAGAAAGGAGACTTTAAATATCAAAGGCTTTCAGTGCCAGTTTTAGGTCCATCTCTCCTCATCATAGACAGCAGAAGCAGTTAAAGCTATTCATAGTAGCAGAGATGTTTTCTTGGGGCCTAAGTGAAATCAGATCACATTTCACAGACAACCAGGCAGAAGAAAACAATCTGTTTAGTCCAGCAGTTGTTTTCTCAGGCCGATGTTTTGTAATGTGAACGTTTCTTTTTGCACTTTTTTCAGGAGGAAGTCTGTGTTTAGGTCTCTGCGGCAGACCATGCTGACCAGGCAGACATGAAAAAATGCTCAACTGGCAGTGAAACTTTTATATTTTCAGACTGAGCACACAAAAGGAATTCAAAGCTTCTCAGGCATCACAATACCCAAATGTTTTAGGGCCTGTCACATTGCACTGAAACAAATGCAGTCTCCTCTATGCATTTAAAAAAAGAGATTATTTTCTTGATTCTTTATCTAGTCACATGCTATTGCAAATTCAATTCATCCTGAATGGATAATCAACTTTGAAGCAATCGTGATCATTTTCTGTAAAACCTCAATGAAAGAGATCCTGTTTACAATATAGACCAGTATTAGTTACATTTCAATAAAACTAAATATCAGTTAGGACCAGAAAAACCCACAGTGTTGTGTCAATCTGTTTTGCTTGACAAAAATCTGTCATGTGGATTACTGGTTGACCATATATTTTGGTTTACCAGCCAATGCAGAATTCCAAATATCTATCATGTTTATAAGAAACGAAGGAACAGGAAGTAAAACTCAAGCGAAATACCAATTGAAAGCAGAACGAATTAAAGAGTTGAAGGCAATAATTGACTAAAAAGGTAGAAAAATAAAATATATAACCCACAAAACACCAGAAAAACTCAAAATACAAGAAATACAGAACACCAAAAGTACCTTGTACCTTATCAATATTTCCATGGACCACCTGTTTCAAAACGTTGTTCTGCTGGCCTTCTCATGTTATAAGGGTTGCTATTTTGGTGAAAGGAAAGTATTTATGATGAAGCATCTCAATATCATAATTACAGACAACCAAAAGCCATAAATTAGGTGTGAATACATTTTGTTATGCCATAAGGAACCATAGCTGCTCAAATGACTGCTTGAAGTTCAAAGTTCATATGATAATGAGCTGACAGTCCACAGCAGCTGGTGTCTGTCTCGGGGACAGAAGTGAACATTTGGGGGTGTCAGGTGTTAGAGGATGTGTTGAATTTTGGTGAAGAGGAATGCTGAGAATGCCAGTCATGAGTGGGAAGAGAAGGGTGGGGTCGCCGCAGGTCTGGAGGTCAACCGATGGCTGAAGCACCAAATCTGACCAGAGGTTATTGCTGCCTGGCAAGAACGAACATGATCAGGATCTGATGCCTTTGTTCAGATGTGAATATGTTTAATATTGGTTAAATACATTTAGAACAATCTTCTGACTGGCTAAACATGACCTTTAGTGCTTGTATATTTGTTGCAATTTGTAACATTTGATTTGATCACACACTTGATGAAAGGTTGCTGAGCAAATTGTTGCTTGCATGTTACATAACTGATTAAACCGATCAGTGTTCACATACATACACAGACACACACAGGTCAGTGTAGCACTTGTGTGGCAGAAGGGCTGGTATACTTTAAGTGAAGTATTATGTTCCTGGTTGGATCAAGCCTTTTAGTAACAACGACAAAACGGCACCATGAGCACTTAAAGAACCGCATTGTTCATGTCCTCACAAAATGGCTTTCCATTTCGTTATTAAACCTGGGTGGGGACATCTTAGTGCATAGAGAGATTTAATCTACAAGTCCCTTGGCGGCTTAAAAGCTAACACAGTAGTGTTCTTCCAGGAGTGTAATACTAAGTTTCTGGTCCACAGGGAAGGAAGTTGGTTTCAGATAATAATCCTAATTTGTCTAATCTTTGACAATAATAAGCATGTCACCAACTTTTTTGGTTAAACAATAATGTGTCATGATCTATGTCAATTATATATAAGAATAACCAGTCTTGGTTGCCATGGTATTAAGTTCCCTGAATTTAAAATGACATACATCCCTCAAATCTAATCATATTTTTACAGTTTTACTCATCTAATTATCCCTTTTTGTCCTCTGCAGTGCTTCTTGTGCTCCAAAGCAGCCTATTATATAGACAGCCCTTCACCTGATGATGGATTTCCCCCTCCTTTCTTTTAGTTTGTTTCAGTTTTTTTTTTCTCCATCTTTTTTTTTCTCCATCCTTCTGTATGCAGATTGCGGTGTCATCTTTCTAAGCTGTTCTAGCTGCTGGGAAAGGCGCCTAACTTGTCCATTAGTTATATTAGCACCTCAGTGGGAGGGCTCTGGTTGCCTTTTTTCCTGGCTGGGACAGACAAAGGCACAGGCCTGCCTGTTATTGTTCTGTTGTCAGCTGAAGCTGGTTTGTGCCAGAAAGAGTCTGTCAGGTCTCAGATCAACTGATAAACTGTGCTCTGATCCACTCAGTGTTTTGTTCACCTGTTAACAGGATGGCCAGTGAGAAAAAAATGAGTCTGAAGTTGTGTTGTTTCTTCTTCTCTGAACTCATTTAATGCTGGTGTACTGTGTTGTTTCTTCTTCTCTGAACTCATTTAATGCTGGTGTACTGGTGTTGATATAGTGATCCCCTTCTAGGTCATTAGTTAATTAAACCAATTATTAATTGTTTTTAATCAGGTGAATTTTACTTACACTTTTTGTCTTTGTTTGTTTTTGTGATTGTTGTTTAACCAAATGTTCTCCCTGATAATAGAACAGAAGAACACACGGGCCATTTAAGAATCTGCAAGCATCCTGGCAGACTGATTAGCAGATCATAAAACATGATGGATCACAGAGACAAAAGCATTTACGTTCTGCTTTTGAAAGCAGTTCCAAAGTTTATGGTTGTGACAAGCTGTGAAGGACCAGAGTTGTTCTTGTCGTCAAGTTCTTTGATGAAGGCTATTCCTCTCTTGATTATCTTCTAGAAATAGAAGACGAAAAGATTAGAAATGTAATAAAAGTGGAGCCAAAGTGCTGAGACACGAAAGTTGAGCAGAAAAAGGGAGTTGTAGAAACATTTGGTTTTGGGAACTGTTTTGATTCTCTATCAGAACCTCAAAGCTTTCTAATGAATGTCCTAGATTAGAAAGGTTGCTGCATGCCAAGAAAAGCAGCAAATGATTACAGTGAACCCACGATCAGATTTTCTTTAGATTAGAGAAATTATAACACACTTGTTAAAGTGAAAATATATTTTCTTAAATGCACAAGTTCTTACATTTCTCTCAAGGGGGAGAAGTGCCACATTGAAATCATATCATTTTCAATGGTGAGGGCAGAGTTGATATTTTTTTCAAGGCTTACCATAAATGCAGACCTAAGAGACACCAGGGTAAGAGATGCTGAACTTCTGACATGCTGAAAGGGATCAGTTTTTAAAAGGGTAGGACATTGAAAGATGTGGAAACATTCAAATGCAATTAATGGTGGACTGTTTAATGCGGGATATTGTATATTATAAACTGTAAAGGGAATTAAATCGGGAAGTGAGTCTTGATTGCCACAAAAACTTACATTCCAACTAGCCCTTCATGACTGAAACATTTAGGAAACATCTGTTAAAGGTCAGTTTCAGCACTGACCTCTCCAAGATTAGCCAAAATGTCATAGGGATAGTCCTTACGTTGGTCGTGGCATGTGCAGCACTGGTAAAATGTGTCCAACATGCCTAAGGAAATGTAACTTTAGACCATGTTATGTTCAGATTTGTGACCGGATAACATCGCTTCAGTCACCCTGATTAAGTTGCATCAGTCAAGGTGAAATTATGGCCAGTGTCATGTTTGACATGTTTGGACAAATCTAAAAGGTCTTCCATGCGTTTTTTTCTTTTAAAGGTAAATAGTGCTTGGCCACTCTGCCTGTTACTTGTATTCCTTGTCAGTTATATGCAACCACAACATTGTGCAATTATGTAACATGAAAGGAGCAATTTGTACCAGAAGCATCTGTAATGCAAATTGATTTTGTAGGTTAAGATAGATAAGGAAATGCAATCTTGACTCAGTCTCGTCTTTCTGTCTGTTTCGTAGCCTTTGGAGAAAAATGGACAAATCTCCAGCCTGACCAGCCTGGAGGACAACACCCTGGCAGAAGGTTTGTGAATCTGTGTTCTGCTCTGTCAATGCTGCTTCTATCCTATGTTTGACTTTGGTAGCTGCTCCTTTGGCTGAAGTGGGGAGTAGTAGCCCCTTTTTTTGTGTGTTTGTGTCGGGGCTTTGTGCAGTGTTTTAAGAAGCTGCAGAAGGTAAGCTTGTTTGTGTGGGGTCGGCTTTCAGTGTGTTTCAGTGTGTGTATGAAATCCTTGTCTGCAGATGTCTTTGTGGCTCTGCATGATCCTTCTCTGATCCCAGACTAATCTTTTGTCAACATTTGGGGGACACCTACAGGACCTTTCACAACTGAGCCACACACAGTCTCACACATGCCCACATGCCAACATATTCCTGGGTTCTTTACTTTGAGTCGTTTTCCTTTATCAAATTTATTACCTATGAATTTCACTAAATTACAAACAAATTCAGGAGCAAGAAGATATCTTGGTCAGTTTGCATGTTTGTTAGAGCAGCAGCTGAAATGTAATTGGATTTCATGTGTGAAATTCTAATAAAGCATAAAAATGGGACCTTGACAAAGAAATTAAAGTTTAAAACATCTTCATTGTACAAAGATACTTATCCCAGAAGTTATCGTTCACTGTCTCTCACTGATGTTTATAGTTGATTGACCCATCATATTTACCCGGATGTTAAATGGAGTAAAAAAGAAGTTTCCTCTAATAGTCACCAAACTGTCATGTTCATCTCCCGCTGCACATGTCAATCTTTAAAGCTCCATGTGTTTATTTTCTTTTCTGTTTCTGTCATGTCTCCCTCGGTTTGGGAGGGCAGCAGGGGTGTGTCTGCCTTCCTTAAATATTTAACAGGCCTTGACCTGGGACCTGCACAAAGTAATCAGTGCATTTCATAATATGTTATGGCCCAGGGGAAGGGTAACCCTATACTGCTTGAAACGTAGAGATATGTCACATACCACTCTCACTAATAACCTATTTAATAAGCCATTTAATGAAGCGATTCTGTCCATTCATAGAGTAATCCTATACCCTCTTTAGAGATGAAATGTAGAGTGAGTGAGATGGACAACTAATGGAGACTAATGCAATTTTGAAATAGTTGCTACTCTGGTCTTGCAGAGCAGAAGGAGGTATAGAGCACAATGGGTTTGCAGATTTGTAAAGGTCTAAGTCTGCTTTAACTACAGTATGTCAAAGATTTCCCATCAGACCAGTGCTCTCTCTGAAGTAAAATATGGTGAGTCTGAGTTTGCTGCCTGAAAAAGTTGGGACAGGCACAACAAAAGTATTCAAAACAAATGTGTGAAAGAAAAAGCTCACAATCATTTAGATTTGATGGCCTCAGATTGATTACGTGACTCATCAACAAATTAGATTGTCGGAGAGGATGCGGCTTTCAGAAGTAATGATGAGAGGATCTTTAATTGATTTAACGAAGTTCACATATAAATGCTGTTAATTAAGAGAAAGGACAACTAAACAAAACACTGAATGTGTCACAGCTTAGACGCAGCTTGTTGTGGAAATTCGAGCATGGTGTCTAAAACATGAGAACAGGCCAATGTAAATTTGATTTGCATCCACAAATCCAATTTCTAGCTTTACCATGCAAAAAGAATGTTGCATAGAATGAGTAAGATCAAGAAATTTTGTCACCCTCTCAGTGTGAGAGGAGAAAAAAACTGTCCTTTGACATAATTCCTTCTTGTCAAATCCCACGGATTCCCTCAGAAGATGGAGCCTTCACCATCATCAACTTTAGCGGGCTAAACCCCAAAGGAAATTCAACTGAACCCAATGTTCATTCATTCATGGCTCTATTCATTTTTAAAATAGGCCCAGATATGGGTGGCTCAAAAACTTGTTGCATGTATGTACTTCTTCACATTTTTCTCCTTCAACCACGAAACCAACCCAAAAAATGGAGACAAAGACAGAAAACATCACAAGTTGCGAAAGGCCTTCAAGGCCACAGACTGAAAGAATGCATGGGAGTGAAAGGAAGGGAGATAAACAATGGACAGAGAGACAAGATAGAGCCGTGAAAAATATGGAGGGCTTTCAGGTCCCAGCTCTGCTGTAGCACTTGCCCTGCCTGATAAAAACAGGGGTGTATTGTGGGAGACAGAAGGAGAAAAGGAATCTGCCTGATAAGACTGGCAGCACATCAAAAGACTGACACATATGCAAACACACACACTCACACACACACAATCAGGTACAAAAGAGTGTTTACACTTTGAGGACCAGCCCTGACGTGAAACTCCAGTCCCCAAACACAGCCGCCATACAAATCTGTTTACAGTAGTATCAGCAAAGATGATTTCTGTTCTTCTTACTTTTAGTTTGAATTACAGATAGAGATGAAATTACTGTACAATTTTGAAGATGGCTACGTTTCCGCGCGTGTGTGTGAATGTATCAATAGCAAATAGTTGGTTTATGTGTTGTATCTTCTGTGAAAACTGCCCGAAATCCCTCCTAAAATGTGTCTAACAAAATGAGTCTCCATAAAGTCTGAGAGGAACTGAATGAATATTGGATGGCAGTTGAGATGAGCAGAGGCACTTAAGGAAGAGAAGCCAGGGGAGAAAAAAGCAAGAACCAGCAGGGGTAAAAATAGATGAGGAAAAAGGGGCACAAACTTTCATGAATGATGCAGCCCCCGATTACATCGGTCCAAAAACTTCAGTCCTGCAAACAGAATCAAACAAGACACACATTCACTTTAATTATTGCAAAAATAAAAGCAGCCCTTATAGTTTCTGCTCTTTATTTGCACTGCTAAAGGTTGCAGTTTGCTGTCCATGTAAAAATGTGCTCAAGCTTGCACAAGTTTGTGTGTGTGCAGCTGCATTGGGAGCCCAGGGAATGACATCACAGATGATGCAATGTGCTGGCCAGAGCACTGACGTACCCTCCCAGATGGATCGCAGGCACAAAAAGCTGGACACTAACATTTCTGGACAGCTTCAGAAGGAGATAATGCTGACCGCGTGAATGTGTTCAGAGGTTTCTGTCGACTGCAGTGAGGCCGGACCTCAGTCAAAGGCTAAACACTCCTATCCATTTCATTCCTCTCAGGGGACTCGATGGGTGTGGTTCACCATGTGAAATTACATTTTGTCTGTCACTGTCTGAGGCTCAAAAAGTTGTCCATCAGGAATTGTAGGATTTGTATCAAACTTAAACTTCACACTAGAGAGCCCAGACGAATGTTTCAAGTTCTGCAGGTTTATTGTGAATTTGCAGCGACTTTTCACATTTATTGCCTTTTTTTGGTTGCATGTGTGAGCATTTATGACTTCACTGTAAAGCTCCTTGTGTGCATTGACATGTGTGTGTGTTTTACGTGTGGCCCTAATTTCTTTCTTGCCTGTGGAAGGGATCTCGCCCTTAACTTAAGCTCTGTCTGATCCCAGCCAATAAGGCTTCAAAGCTTATACTTTTAATGACAAATTAAATCATTTTAAATGGATTAATGAGAAAGGTCCCCAGTATCAAAATAATAGTCTTTGGTGCAGAGGGCCTGAAAGTACAGTAATAAAGTCAAACTCCCACCAAGGCGCTCAGACCCCCAGGACCCACTCATCTCCGTGGGCACTCCTTTCTCATCTTTCCCGGCATCAGGGAACCTAATCTCCCTCCTCAACTCCTAACCTCCCCCAGGCACATAGAGGACTGAATGGCCCAAGAATGTGGCTGACCCCTCCTTTTCCCCCTTTATTGAAAGTGTTATGACAACTGTAACAATGCAATAAGCATCCATCCACGACAAAATGTCATTTTTAACCTGCCAGCAATTAAATGAAGGTCAGTCATTTTTCAGGGACTGAATTAGGTATGGACAGGATTTAAATCAAATCCGACTGCTCAGCAAAGATATAAAAAAAGGTGAGGCATGGTAAAGGACTTATTGGCCACGACAAGCATGAAGAAGCACTGAGTGTCCAGCTCTGGTGCACATTAGATAATTACTAACTTGCTTTTGGGGGGAACAACGTTTTATTGTTTGACCGCACATTTTCATTTGAAAGATAAACCGGTATTGATAAAAAAACATCTTAAACGTTCTTTTTTAGATGACTTTCTCACCTACAACTAAAAATAACATCCCGGTTTATTTACTTCCGTTTATTTGTAAAGCCTGACCTCCTCCCTCGTGCATCTGTTGGGGATTTTTACATCTCTACCACATTTGTACTTTCATTTGTACATTCCAGCTTGAACTGAAGGCAGATGATATATAACAACAGCTGGAATTCCAAATTCCTCCTGTAACTGCTTTTAGAAGGCACTAAAAGCAGAAGCCTTATACAACAGAGGGTAAATGTTGGCAAAAATCAAAGAAGTCCTTCTTAGAACGCTGCTCACGATCCAGATTTTATCTTTGCCTGTTGCGTGCAAGATACCTTAAATATGGAAGAACAAGCAACTATTTGGTCAACAGTGAAGTTGTAAACATGATTCTCTATTGTTTCACCAAAAAATAAACAAATCATCTGAGACGTAACAACCAGAATGTTCGTCGTAAACGGTCTCAGAAAGAAAAGGTAGCCAGACAGGCCGTGGAGACTGAGAACATGAGTGTAACTCGAGGAAATGAGGTGGAGGAAGAGGAAATGGTGATGTCAAGAACTGACTGCATTTCCTGTCCGACATTCTTAACCATCCATCCAGTCCACATACAAACAGAGGAGGGGCGGGAGCTCGGGCGTGTCGAGGACAGCGTGGGGAAAATAGTGGAGGGGGATTAAAGGGGATTGAAGTGGGGCTTCTCGGTCATCGTTAGCTTGTAAAGGCTCCAATCTGCCCCCCACCAAAAAAGTGGGGCTTTGGAAAATAAAGGACAGTGTGAAAGGAGCACAAGAAATTTAAAAAGCATGAATAGGAAAGGGCTCTTTGACTGAAAAATCCCTCAGATCTCAGGCAGCTCCACACACTCACTACACTTGTTTCTCATTCCTGGAATTATTTCAAAATCTTTTCCCGTTCTTGGAAGAGTAAGAGGCGGCGTCTT